ACATATATATTTGCACAAACGGTGTGCTATCTCGAGACACCGACCACGGATTGCAAAGGTAGCGGTTGGGACAGCTCGGGCAAATGTTACTTGTTGTGCACAAGTTTAAGTTTGGAATTTGGTGCCGAGATGGTGAAATGGGCTCGAGTCTGCTGGGATATTTAGGGCGCGCACACAGACAGACAGACAGACAGACAGCCATTGCGTCTTTTTCACGCCCCTGGGCATGAAAATTATTCTTTTTCTCGTGCGCACATACATCCACACACGATCCCTCTTAACAGCTTTTTTTTTGCAAAACAAAAAGCGTACCCCTTTACGGGCCACTCTTTTCGCAAAAAAAAAACTATTATTATTATGTGTAGATCGCACCCGTTCCTCGCGCGCCTGGCGACACCCTTGCACGAAGTCTATTTTAACAACAACAACAACAACAACAACAACAACAACAACAACCAAGCAAGGCAAAAACATGACAGCAAATTGTAGGCTCACGCACCACTCTGTGTTTGTTTGTGCTGGCTGCACTCACATCTTTTGGCGACACACGAACATCCAAGTGCTGCTGCAATAGTTGCTCGAAGAGGGTCGGTTGTTGTTGTGTTCACATCAAAAATCGTTCCGGTCTCCGCTCAGTACCTTTCAATGTCCGTACTGGTCCAACTGACGCGGACACCTTCCGTGGTCACAAGCCAACTGCCCCACCAAAGGGGGGGTACACCTTTTCTTCGTTGCAATACACAGTAGTTTAGTCTCGAGGTACCTACTGTACGTACGTTCCTGCTTGTACAGTAGTGTAGTAGTCTAGTAAGCCGGTTTTGCTAATTTTCTTGTGCATGGTCTTGAGACCCAGTCCCCGCGAGATGTTGATTTTCATGGCACCAACCAATCGAGTGATTGCGGAGACTTGGAAGAGAGGAGTTTTTGAACCCTTACCGCGATGGCCAGTAAAGACATGCGCCTCGATGTTGGAAATCTGAATAGTCTTTCTGACCCCCAACGGGTGTGGCCAGAAATCTCTGTAGCTGAGACAGGGAAAACGTACGTGAGGGAGGTAAACGGATGGAACGTAGGTATTTTCGAGAGCCAACAATGTGTCTCTTTTTCGTTGTGGTTGGATTGGGGTTGTTCGGCAAGGCGTTTTTGTGGTCAACCCTGCCTTCCCCGCCTTCTTCGTGGATTGCGCTATGTTGGGTGGTCGACGAGATCCATAGCGGTTGAGCAGAGCAGTCGCCTTACCGTATGGCGCGACTTACGTGTATTCGCTCTCTACCCATTGAGCAACCCTACTATATGCTGTTACCACCACCGCCGTAACGTCCGCAGCGCGGTCCCCCCCAACAACCAACTCCCCTGTTTTCATCCGTCATCCGTCATCTGTCATCCGTCATCCGTCATCCGTCATCCGTCATCCGTCATCCGTGAGTTTCAGCAGGGTACAGACGCCGGATCAAACGACAGTCTCTCTTCGAAAACCTCGGTGTGAAGACTTCGTTCAACACGTACATCCTCTTGAAGGGGGTATTATCTCGAACGGGTAATGGTCTTTATTTCATGTATATATTTGAACGATGTTTATCTCCTCTTGCACCGCTGCTGGCTTTCACAGGGCTGGCGTACTGGTTCAACGGCATCGGCGGCTACGACTGCTTTGCGTTCTCGACGATCATGGGCGCGTCTCTATCTGCGAGCAACGCGATGGGCTTCATTCACCTCTTCATACTCTCCAACTCGATGCATCGGGCAAACTCCAGGTGCCAGTCCGTCGACACTATTTATTGATATTTTCCACCGCATCGGTGTGCTGCTGTACCCACCTCTCTCTCCCTCTCTCTCTCTCAACTTAAAGGTTCAGATCAGATGGGTCGGTGGTGCATTCGAAGTAATTTTGATATATTCCAGTCACATTCCGATCACATCTACAGTACTTGTATTGGAGCCGGCTGATTCCTCATACGGGACTTAAGAGGGGATTCACGGTGGTCTGGGCGCTGGGGTTCCGGTGGGCGGGCTGTTGCTCTACCATGTTAACTCTGTTCTCTAGCGTCAGCTTGTCTACCGCCCGAACACGTCTTGAGTCGTTTGGGTCCTTGCTGTTTTATCTGTGCAGCTAAACTCCTCTCGTACTGCAAAGGTTTCTTGCGTGTTGAAGACTCATACGGACATGTTTGTCTGCGAGGAGGGCATGCAACGTGTACACCCTTGCGGCACTCCCTGCCAATATCTCCTTGCCACGGCGTCTGACTATTGCCAGAGAACATCATGTGCATACCGAAGCGCTTTTATTGCATATTTTGAGGCCGAAAGCCCGGTCACCAATGAAGCCGCCCGCTCTCGGTGGTGTTCACATAGGGTGGGTGGACAAAACGATTAAGCATCAAGATTGTTGCACTTGTTTAGGGCCTCTGCCTCTCTGGGAAACGCTAGCGTTGCGTCGAACCCTGGCCGGCGTCGTCAAAACGGAAACATAACCATCCGCTCGCCGCAGGTGGAAGCACTTCCGTTGGTTTGGCGTCATCATCATGGTGTTCCATTGGGTTGCTCTGGTGGCGCTAGAGGGAACGAGAACGGCGGGAAAGGAGGAGCGCGGGGGATGCGCTGGTGAGTCTCGCTGCGTGACTGACGTGGACGGCTTGGCGTTGACGGTGAAGTGGATCATGCAGCTGCTGAACCAAATGTTCCAGGTGAGACTCTCTTTCTCTCTTCATTTCTCTCTTCATATCTCGCTTTGTGAGTCATCCCATGTACGGCTTACCCTGCGACGTTGCCTCTCTGAAATGGAGGACCCCGTCCGAGTTCGCGGGTAGTGTCCTTGGTTGATGGATGGTGCCTTATGACTACTGGTGGCCGGGTACACGAAGGGACGGTGCTCAGCACCTCGCATACTAAATGACTCGCGGGACCTACATACTCCTATTTACCATGCTTTACCAAGGAACGTCAAGCGACAGTTGGAGGCGGTTTTGGTGGTGCTATGTTTTTTACGATACCACCGCGGCATGTTTTCGTTGTTGTTGGCACGATCGCAGTAGGCATCGTGTCGACGCGTGGCATACGGATGAAAAAAACAACGAAGTGATCGGAGAAATAACCCCGCAGGGGTCCGAGTGACCTGTGGTAGTTGAATGGTGCATCCCTTTGGACTCGAGAGCGTGGGCGCCAAGTCGGGGGCTAAGAGTGGATGGGATGATTCCATCGCGGCACCAGCGAAGCGACGCCGGTCTCTACGCTAGCGATAGGGGGGGTTTCTCGTTGAACCGAATGTCGTAGTCGGTAGACCATAGTTGGGGTGTCTGTATGGATAACGCCAGGCATCAAGAGTGTCAAAGGTGTGTAAACCTGATTTGGTTGCATAGCAGGCGAGTGGCCGGTACACAGTTGATGAAAAGCGAGGCAGTTGCACGTGCGCCTTGCCTAGTCTGCGGAAAAAAGAAAGAGCTTGGATATTGTTGTCCGTCGATCCAATCGAAATCCTTGTAGCTGAACTAGGCTGTATGCTCTGGAAAATATTATGCATATGGTGCAAGCACGAACCGTGTTGCGGCACATTTTTCATACAGTACGCTCTTGATACGTTTGCAGTCAGGGGGGACACTTGTGCAGAAGTGTGCAGATATTGTTTTGTACATATTGTGGTGTGTGGACGTGCCGAAGGATGGATGCGAAGGTGGTATATTTTTCTGACCACGCCGAGTGTAGATGCGCTGTCATCTCCCCCCGACTCCGTCGCAAGCCGTCGGTACGGCGCACTCGAAGTATTTCTTCACTTGCATGACTTTCACGTCTCACCCGTGTTGCGCCCTATTGAATGTGCCCCGTTTCTGTTCACGTCCGATTTGATGGAATGGACCAGACGGTGGCGTTTCTCGTTCCTCTGCGGATGCCGGCGGCTGAAGCCGCCAATGGTGTGCGGCTGTTTTCCGGCGGTCTCAAAGCTACTGGAAGCTGCAGAAAGTGCCTGAACATCTCCGTGAGCCTTGTCGCTTGCATGGGTTGTTGTGGTGGTGGCCGTTTGCTGCTGTTTTTGTTGTCGTCGTGTCAGTTGAAGCCGTCTCTTAGACTAAAATTCCTGGAACGTCCTGATGGGGACGTTCTTGTTATCAACCCCCGACAGAACCGATGCCCACTCCTGTTCACCCACGCAAGCTGAGATTGTATGTCGTAATACACGCGGTCTGGTTTGGTCCGGACCGAATGTCCTTCCTTGGAGCTCATAGAATCAACCCCCCCAAGTAGTTTCTACTGAACCTCCTTCGGTATTTCTCTTGTGGTCTTGACGAGGTCACAACACCGTTTTGGGGTTTGCTCTCTCCCAACAAAATGAAAGGGGAGACATTCGAAGGTAGGACTTTTGTTCACCTCGGACCACGAAAAACATCGTTTCCAACAATCTCGTCCGTTCCATGTACGTACCGCCCATGACAAGGTCTGGCAAACCATCATCTCGGAGGGGTTGTCTCTGGTAATGACCTTCACGGTGGCTGGGATTGCGTTGGCCAAGGCTAAGGGGGGGCTGGACAACACGCCGGTGAGGACCAATCTACGGGACAACGCTTGTGTTATGTGTTCACAGCTGGGGGTTCATTCTCATCCGTGCCAAAGAACAGCGGGAGGTTCTTCGGAATCTTGCGTCGATTCGGAAGTGGGGAGGGTCAATTAGTGTTCTGATCAATCCAAAAAGGTGCATCGTTACAGTATGTCAATGTATGCCATTCCATCCTCCCTTCAATTTTGGCAACCGGTACTGGTCGAGAACCTCGTCGTGTCTCCCATATCTCCTTCACTTCCGCTAGAGATAACGTGCTGCTCGACCTGCCACTTTCGTACGTTCCAGCCCTCTTCTCGGTGAACCACCACCTTGTACAAGTTGTCTTGGTGGGTCGGAGCTCTAGTTTGGCGGGTGATGGCAGTCCGTCTATGTGGCGACTTTCGTTGCTGGATATCGTTTTTCGAAGGTTGAACGAAGATTTCGTCAGAGCACTGCTATTATAGGCTATTCGTATGTCATCTAAGAACGGCAGAAACTTTCATGCCTTCGCGGACGTCTCCGAACTACAACCTCGATGAATGAAATCCGTGCCGTGCTGTGTTTTCTTCTGCGTAGTTGTTCGCCGTGGAGGTGCTCGACAACATCGTCAATCTAGCAGCAATCTTCTACGCTGTCCACGCGAGGCCCAAATTTTTTCATCCCCGCCCAAAGAGCCTGTCGCAGCTGCTTGACTCGGCGAGTTCCGGCAATACGTCTAGCTCCCTGATGGGCTCTTTCGGCGGCGACGTCCCTTTTGGTGGCAACGCCTCTTTTGGTGGCAGCCGTAGCGTTGGCGCCTATCGTGGCAGAAGGTGGGCCTGACTGTGTGGTGGGAAGCGTTTCAGTCCAATGTTGTTCTTAAGCTTGTGCGAGTACATCGTAATAGATACGGACTGTGTTCGAGTCAGCCTCGTTAACCAAGGGAGTCGTTCGCTATTCGAGGAAGACCACTAAGGAGCGTCGGGAGTATTGTGTTAAGTGCTTGGTGAGAGCTCCTTGTCTGTAAGACAAACACTTCCTTAACATGAAGATGATGATGATGATCAGCAGCAGCCAAGATCGAAACCAACATCGCAAGCTGCACATTGTATCGTTGTCCAGGCGGTCTGAAAGCAGCATCAGCGCCAATGGCAGGGGATACGCCGAAGGAGGCAGCGGCCGCGGAGACATCGGCCGGCTGGGAGGGAGCGGATACGGGAGCAGCAGCAACGTTGGAGGTCGGCTCCCCCGCCCTCACTCAATCGGGGTGACATCATCCACGCCCTCATTTTCTTCCTTTCAGGCTTCCTCTCTCCAGCGGCGCTACAGCTCGGGCCCCATCAGGAGGCTGCCGCCAGTTGTGGACATGTCCCCTGAGAGCAGTGGTCACGGTTCCCCTTCCCGGTCCAGTTCCAATTCGTGTGGTGAATCCCCGCCGCCCGCCGTACCCTCGTCAAACTTGCCTCCGAAGAGTGAAACCCCCGCTGCATCTGCTGCGCCCTCTACGATACTGCCTCTGTCGAGTGGAACTCCCTCTGCGGCTGCTGGACCCCTGTCCAGCCTGCGTCCGGCAAGTGGAACTGCATTTACGGCTGCTGCTCCTTCGCCTAGCTCGCCTCCACCATCTCTGACTCCCTCTGTGGTCGCCGGCCCATCGCCCAGTTCGCCTCCATTGACCGGAACTCCGTCCGTGGGGCCCGGCCCATCGCCCAGCTCGATCGCATCGGCTAGAACACCAGGTGTGGCTGAAGTATCACCCTCTTCATCGAGGGGAACTCCGTACACGGCGCGTGCCAAAGGTACCGCGGAGAAAAGATCAGGGTCTGGACGGTACGGCAGGCCAGTTGGAGCGCTCTACTTCGCGAGGTGAGAACGCTGGCTTGAGGTAGAGCTAGGGTTTGAGGCTGGGGTGGGTGGGTCTGCCGGAGCTCATCCGTGATGTAGGGCATAGAAGTGATAGTCTGCGGTTGCATGCGAAGAGGACTGACGATACCTGCTACTTGGTTGGAATTTGGTCAAACCGGACACGGGCGACCATGGCTGGTACAGAACAGGCTGAGGGACAGCGAGAGAAGGGCCCATTGGTCGTCCTCGGTGCCATGCGCCGGCAGTCGATCTTTTTCCTGTTTCGTCCTCCGAACGAACGGACAAACGCGATGTTTCGCTCATCACGCCCCCGAAATGCTGCTGTACCAATGTGTTGGCGCTTGTCTCGCTGCTTTGCTATCTTTGGTAGAGTCCAACACTGTTGTGCCCGCTGGCGTACGGCAGTGCCACCACCTTGTTTGCTCGTCCTGGTGTTGTCGTCGTCCGAAAAAATCGCTTTTGATGGTGTATTCCTGGTATGCTGTACGCCCAACTCGTCCCCCTTGCAAGTGACTTTTCCATCTCTCGCTCCTTGCCTGCCGCTGCCGCTGATGCGGTCCTGCTGTGTGCCATCAAACGAAACGGAAAAATACGGGATGCTGTTTGATTTCGAGAGTAGCCGTACAACCAAGAATATGCGGAGGACGCCCGGACCCTCTACCACCGGAACAGCCATGGGAAACGCAGATGGAGTGGTGGTCAATACCGGCATTGCCTTCACCCGCAGTACGCCTCCTCGATCGATGTCTGCTCGTGCTGCTGGTGCCAAACATGATGAATCGACTAGTGCTGTCCGGTCTGCGTCAACTGCCAGCGTCACAACTGGTGGTCGTGGAACTGCTGCTGCGGGGGGGACTGCTGCGGAAAGGATACAAAGCAGGTGCAGCTCGATTTCGACGATGCCGGCCGCAGCGCCTGGGCCAGCAGGCGACGATCGTGAACCAGGCGCCACCGTCGCCACGGCCCGGCTAGGAATTCCGGACGCCGTCGTGACCGCTGCCCCCTGGAAGTGGCATCAGCAGCCGGGGCTGACAAAACTACAGCGGCCTCTCTGGTCGACCGACAGTTGGGCAAGCAGTCGCCTGATGAAAGTAGCGCTAGCCACCGACGCTTCAAGTGGGTCCTTTTCCGCCGTTTCATCCGAAACGACTTCGTCCACCAGTCCGGAGAGACACGCCGAGGCGCACAAGAAGATGCCGACCGAAACTCCCGACGGCGTCAGGATCGCGGCCGCAGCCGCAGCCGCAGCCGCCGCTCACACGGTCGTTTGGCCCCTCCCGTTGAACGCCTCGACTCGTGCGAGCCGCCCGTCCGGCGGTAAGCGACACGCACGGCTGTCCGCGCGGGCCTTGGCGTCATCGCCGTCAGCTGCGAAAGTCAGAGCGGAGAAAAAGGAGGCCAGGCGGACGGGATCGGGATCCAGGCGGAATTGGCATCACAAGAAACGAGCGAAGAAGGTCACCGAAACGGAGTCGGAAACACTTGCCCCGGCAGCTTCAGCTACGGCAGCCTCTGGGGGCAGGCCCCCCTCTTCTTTTCTGTGGAGGGAGGTCGGGCTTCAAGGGACAGGTTCGCACTCCGAGGCACCCGATGCCCCCGCTTCGGCTGCCTCTGCGTCGACCACGAACGATGCCGGGGCGCACGCGGCAGAGACTGGCAAGAGACCCCGCCTAGAAAGGCGCACTTCTTCTTCCGCGACTAGTCGGTCCAGGTACAGCGCGGCAGCGTGGTCGGCCTTCAGCGCAGCCTCGTGGTGCTCCAGCAGCTTTGACGGCAACGACAACCAGCGGGGCGCTCCCGCCGCAACGGTGAGATCTCCGCCGGCGTTCTATGAGGGCAACGACTCAAACGGCTAGTTTCTTGGGGTTCGTAACGGTTGGCTTCTTGGACGTCGACGAGTAGAACTAAGTTGCTGTTCCAAACGTCTTCACGGACGGCGGCTTTTGCCTACAGGAGCCGAGTTTTGAGAACAGGAACGAAGTGCACGTTTCAGCTACGGCCAGCATCGTCGTTCATGGCCGGTTCCAACCAGCAATATAACACACAAGCACCCTTGCGTGTTACCAGGCACCAACTACTAGTATGTTATTTCTACAGGTTGTGTGCTAACGTTCATTGCAGTTGATGATTTTTTATACTTGCCGCCTTCGGACCACCCTGAAGGATGCATCAGTTGCAGGTCTACATTTTCCCCTCGCCAACAGTTGCATTGTGCCTGCGGGTGTGTTTGAAAGCGAACACGCGGCGAGGAGTTGGGAAGGATGAGGAAAATGTATTGGGTCGCTGAGGCGGTGTACATTCAGATATGTTGGGAGGGGGGAGGACTGGCTACGAGTTCGGGCATTCTATTTGGGGAGATGGACACAGAAATTTCCCAGGATACTGTTGATTGGCGCGAGAGTGGCTAGGGCATGGATTCACGCTCGTTCATGGTGGGCGTTGCCACAGCAGGCACGAGGTTCGATGGTCTTACGCACACCTTGTGGACGTCAAACCTCCATGGAAGCTGCTGCCGCTGCTAACAGCTGACGAGACTCAGATGCAGTCTTTGTTAGCCCTTGGTAACGAGGTGGACTTCGGCATCTGAGAGCGGTTTAGGTGTTCGTCAAGTAGCACGAGAGGAGGGGCACATTTTGGGGTCGGGGCCACGCACGGGGGAAGGGGTGGGGAGCTGTTGACTGATTGGTTTTCGAATGAAGCAAATTAATTTATCGTGTTTGCAGCATGTTTCAGATTTATTTGGGATGAATCCCGCGTGTCCAGCAATTGTACGAGACCCGGCTGGGATGCGATTTCGGCGAGGAGGTCGAGAGTAGACCGGCTGCTCGGTGGTGCTGGCCATGATGTAGGAGGCCGAGCGCCTTATTTGTGTACCGGTTTACGATACTTGGTGATGAGGGGGAGAGCTCGTAGTTGAGTCTTGGTAGGAGACTTTTCTGATATCTAGGCGGTTTGCTATTTCTTCAATGACGTCGTGATTACCATATGTTTCACTTCACGTCCTGACATATTTATGTTTCGTGCGTTACCGTATTTGGCTGAATGGTTATATCTTGTAAACAGATACAGTATACAACCGTGCTATTCACGTTCAGTGTCAGTGTTCGGCGAGGGGGGGTGGGGGTGGAAGTTGGTACGCACACATTGTCGTTTCGTTTGTGTACCGTTGCCTGGAGGTGTTCGTTGACGAGAACATTACCTGTTAGAGCCCACATGATGCAGGCTACATCGCCCCCAAACATCGCGCCGATTGCGGTGAATAAATAGCTTGGCTTCCGTCAACCTTGGGGGAAGCGCACGTGGGAGGAGGGAGTGCCGTTTTTAGTGCTGTTTTTCTCTTCTTGTTCCTCGTGCTTTCTCGTAGTGATCGGTCCGCTCTTCTTCTGGTCAGGTGTATGTTCTGTTTCAACACTTATCGTCTGGATGTCTTGGTTGTCTTGTGTTCTTTCCGTGTCTTGTTCTCTTGAATGAGAGCTAGCTTCACTTTGCCTGCGCTAACGTGGAACACTTGCGTGCGTAAAATATGAGTAGCTGTGTGCCTGTCATCTCTTGAGGAGCTTCACTTTGCATATGCTAGCGTAGAGCACTTACATGGTAATATAGAGTTGACTTCTGTGTGTGCCCGTCGCCTTTCCACAGGTGTTGCTGGCTTGGACGAGAGCTTCATTTTGCTTACGCTAGCATGGAGCTCTTACCTTGTGAAAAAATATGACTGACTGCTGTTCAGTTTATGTCGTGCTATCGTAAAAAGGTGTTGTGTAGTAAAAGGTATTGTGTAGTATTTTCTTCAAGTGAAACAATAATGGTGTACACTAGAATACACGCATGCTTTGCTTTTTGTACTAATGGAGGCCTGTAATCACACAATTTTTGGCGCCGGCGGGATTGGTTGTGCGTTGGACTCGGACGAGATTAAGCTTGGTGGAACCCCACGACTTCGTGTGTCAATGGAGAATGGAGGCTCGCACACAGATTGCGCGGCAACTGGTGGTGCACAAGCCCCGCCCGCCCCCTCCCCCCATCGTCCCCGTTGTTTCATAGCGAAGATAGATCCATTCATCACATTAAAATTGCTGCGGGGGGTTTCGAACCAGACATTGCAACAATGCAACACTGACGTAACAGGTTTCCTCCCCAAACACGGTTGACCAACACACCGGGTTGGGGCACTTTAGGCAACCTGAATCGAGATTTATATTGGCACGAGTTGCAACCTCCTCACCTTGGGTAATCCTCGCAATGCAACGATGGCCAGGTTGTGCAAGGTAAACCTTTCTTGGAGGTTGCGCGTTGTTTACAAGTCGGACGGGGGGCAGGTTGCCGATGGTAGTGCAAGGTGTACCCTTCCTTGGTGGTTGTGCACTGCTAACAAGCTGGAACAGGGGGCGGACTGCCGATGGCGGCGCAAGGTGTACCCTTTCTTGGTGGTTGGAGCGCTGCTAACAAGCCGGATAGGGGTCACGCTGTTGATGGCGGTGCAAGGTGTACCATTTCTTATGGTTGCTGCACTGCTTACAAGCTGGACAGCGGGTAGGCTGCCGATGTCAGCGCAAGGTGTACCCTTTCTTGGAGGTTGGCGCGCCATGCACAAGTTGGTTAGGGGTGAGGTTGCCTATGGTATGACCAGGTGTACCTTTTTTTGCAGGTTGGCGCGCTTCGCACATGCCGGTTGGGGGGCACGTTGCCGGTAACAGTGCAAAGTGTACCCTTTCTTGCAGGTTGACGCGTTGCGCAGAAGCCGATGAGGGGGCAGTTGCCGATGGTATTGCAATGCGTACCCTCTCTTAAAAGATTGCGCACGATACGGCCGGTTTACAACAAGCAGCAATGCTCAATACTGTAATTGGCGCGTTCGATGCCCCTGCACTGAACGTTTTTTTTTTGTTCATGTTTCATTTGTTTTTTCGCCGCTGTATTCGAATCACTACAATTATACGGTCGGTACATTCCCGAGCAGACCTCTGAAACAACGACATCCCGTGCCCATGCATCATACACATTGCCAGTAGCTCTAGCTTAAACCCATCTCCGCGCGCGGCTTATCATCTCTACCCAGGGTCGTCAACATCCCAAGTTGCACGATTACATGTTAGCGAGAACCATAAAAATTTACTTCAAATTGAAACAATACATACATACCCTTGCGAACGTCGTTCTGTATATTGAATGTCCCCGCACATCAGCATGCCCTCGCCCATGACCGTCAGCGACGTCGATCATGGAGACGACCNGAGGGGGGGGCACAAACCGACAGCATAACCGCAGGTCGTAGAATACGTCAGAGACCAGGATAAGCTACGCACCCCCGCAGAAAAAAACTGAAGGGAGGCGAGGTACATTCAAACATCAGGGATCGCCAACGGACACGCGAGGATGAGGAAGGGTGTACATTATGGGGAGCCGGGGGCAAAACGGATGAACGACAAGAAGCACGCAAGCATCCAACACCATCGCAGGCAGAGAGAAAGAGGCAGAAAGAGAGGTAGCACGATTATTGGAAAGGACAAGACACATGACACACCTTGTCAACACGGNACAGCAGTGTTATCCAAACGACCGTCTCTCCCGACACGAAACACAGAACCCCCCCCCGCCCCGGCCGTCCCAAATTCTACATTTAACTCTTGTCAAGAAAAAATGTCACTGCCTGAGACGGAGCCAGCTGCGACAGCGGTGTCCTCCAAAAACAATGCAGAGACTGCAGACATAGACCTCTCTACGTTCCTAACACCATCGAAACAATTCCCCCCTCCCCTCCCCAAAAGCCACAATTCGCACGGACAACAAACGGCGCGGACGAACCCAAGAGGCAGCAGCGACAGATTCCAAACGCCCTTGCAGACACCGCAAGAAAACACCTGGCTCTCATCCCGCGCCAGGCGCCCTCATGCACCACCAGNGGTGTCCGCCAAGGCTTTGTAGCCAGCTTGGTCATCAGGACCATCACTTTTCTCGCTCGGAGACGAAGAACATCCCCGTCTCCATCATAAGTTTACCCTCCACCCCCATCCGCCCCTGGGTCACCTCCTCCACCTCCTGCCCCCTCGTCCGCGAACAAGCACGGCTTGAGGTAGCGCTAAGCGTCGTCCTGACGATCAACACTCTCGGTGGAGAGGATCGGCCCAACGTATTCCAAGCCGAACCGCATGAAGCTCTCCTAAAACCTGAGACACGAAACAAAGAACAAAGAGCGTTCCATGTGAATATATGTCAGTTTGTTTGCCGTCACGGGATCATACATAAATAGCTTGCGACAAACCACCAGCGCGTCGACTGCCTAGGAGCAACGCCNGGCAACAACCATATCATAGCACCATATATATGAAATCATAAAATACTGTGAGACATGGCGAGCGGGATATTTCTCCGCCTCCTCCGTCAAAGCTTCGACCCGTTGTGAACGCCATTAGGACCCGAGAAAACGCTTTGAACGATGTTGCAGCGGAGGTCCCGGCGACTCGACCTGGAGGTTGCCGATCAGCAGCGAAATAATATTGAAGTGTGATAGGAGGGTAAAAGTGTTCCGTCGAGGAATGGAGGGCATGCTCTCCCCCTTGGTAACAGAATAGTNTATATGTCAGTTTGTTTGCCGTCACGGGATCATACATAAATAGCTTGCGACAAACCACCAGCGCGTCGACTGCCTAGGAGCAACGCCAGGGCACACTGAAAATACGGGGAAATGACTAATGACGCTGGAAACGCGTCAGGAACAAAACAAACGAGAGTGTTGGACGTTCAGCAGAGCTTGAACGTTCAATGAGAGCTTATCGGTCTGACAAACTGCCGACAGTACACCAGGGGAGACAGGGCTAGAAGAATACGCTACAGACAACAAGAACCCGCAGACCCACAGAGCTTGGTTCACATATCGAAACAAAAGCAACGTACGTGTCGCTGATGGCGTCCAAGGTTTTTCACCGCCGCCGCCCTTCGCAGCAAACGGCTTTTCGGAAAAAGCCTCGCACACGAGGAAGGTACGGCAACACCGTCGTGGTTGGGGTCGCTCTTGTTGCCGAAGTGTAGCCTGGAGTGCCCATCTTCGTCTTGATATCCGTAAGGACGTACTGCTCGAGCACCTTCGAACGATGCCAATCCACCGTGAGGGGGGGGGGGAATGGTGATTAGTGGGCAAGGGGCTGGATAGATGGATGCACCAGAGCAAGGGTGACAGTAGATGGCATGGAATTTGCGCCGGAAACAGCAAGCAGGAGAGCGAACAGGACACCAGCAGCAGCTATCCTCATTGTCAAGTCGTACATGGGGATATAAAAATTCAAGCGTCATTACCACAGGAAAGCGGCGATAACATTTCAAGGACAATTACTCTTCGTTGCCCCGCGCTATTGCTTGGCATCATGAGATGTTGGCTACTTGCACACAATCGGTTCACCTTGCGCCGCCCTCCTGTCTTGCAATAAAGGCTACCGCTACAACATGCGAGACCCTCAAACCAACAGCAGTACCGGTGCGCGTGCGCCAAAATTATCTACTCCTTCCACAAGCAAAGCATCGCGAGGAATAGTTGCCTGCACGTCCCCCCGTTCCTTCTCTCCATTGTAGCATACGCTTTGGTTGAGTCTCATAAATGAACGAATGAGCAGCTCTCGAAAGAAGGTATTCCATCGTTCCTTCCGTTCACATTCAAATAGGGGCGAATTTACTCAAAACGTGCCTGGAGCTATGCCGGAGTGATCGACGATGTTATGCACGACTCTGACAGCAGGTGCGGTAGTAGATCTTCACCGGTTCTCGGTGGACAGAGGTGTCGGGGGTCGGGACATGAACTTTCCACCATATTTTGTTTTTCAAATCACTGGGCACCACTTCTGAAAAAAATCTCGCATTTTCCGCGGAGAGTTCACTTAACCCGACCGTACCTGAGCTATGGGGTGGTGCACTTGCATCGGTGGACCTGATCGAAGGTCACGCTCTGCATGGCCTCGTCCTCTGACACGGCAATGCCGTGGTTGGCTGGCCCTAGAACCTTCAACAACATGACGGTACCAAGCCCACTCATGGCGGTATCCGCCTACACAGTACGATACAAGGGGGGGCGGGGGCGGGGAGTGGGTGAGACGCAATATATGAAGACGCACATACATATCCCTCTGCCCAGCTATGCATGCTATTGGTGCCCTCTTCATGTCGCATCAGTGGCGCGGCATGGGGGGACCCGCTGNCAATGCCGTGGTTGGCTGGCCCTAGAACCTTCAACAACATGACGGTACCAAGCCCACTCATGGCGGTATCCGCCTACACAGTAC